GTAATAAGCTTTATTTTGCGCTTAGTGTAAATTTAATGTCAAAACTTATTGCTAATAAACTTTTATTATTATTATTATTATTATTATAGTCTGGTATAACAAGTAGGCTACTTTTTATCCCGGAAAAATATACGGTTCTCGAGGGATAGATTTGTTTTTATTTTTACAGAAGCAAACTCGAGCGAAGCGAACCCGAGCGAAGCGAGGGTGAGTCGCTAGTAACTCATAAAAGTAAAAGCGCTATCTGTGAATATGCACTACAAACCAAATTAGTCATTACGGTAAATTTTTCAATAATCAATAAAACTACGCAAAGTCGATTAACTAACGAGTTATTTCAATCGCCTTCACGTGGTTTTTCTTTTAAATAAAATTTAAAAGTGAAGTTTTTATTTTTATTTTCAATTATTTTTTTTACATTGACAACATTGATTTAAATCATATTTTCTTTGCTTCTCATGAGACTACGATTCTGCTAACTGCGCAAGATTAGAGGATTCTATTACAGCTTATAGAAGTTTTTATTGATTTTTTTAATTCTTAAGTCTCCATTTGAACGAAGAATTAAATTTATTGTATCAATTAGCTTTGTAATTTTTTTACAGTATTGATATGTACAATACAAAAATATAATGATTCCTTTGACGACAAGTTGGGCTCAGTTTGTAGGTCGCGGGTTCGAGTTCCACTGGAGACATTAATTTGTGTGATGCACAAATGCTTGTACTGGAGTACATCATCATGGGTGTTTATATTTATTTATAATATGTATTTAAAGATAATATATGGGTAGTGTATTAACTATCTCGTATCCATAGTACAAGCTTCGTAGCTTTTCATGGAACTATTAATAGATGGTGCTGTGTATTAAGGTCCTAACATATTTATTTTAGGGGTTTTTTTTGCAATAAATATAATTATTAAAGATTCACACATAAGTAACTACACGTATGTATCGTAGTGAAGTGTTACTTTAAAACAACCACAATTTCCACGAGACTCGACTATCTCAAAATTTCCATAATTAAAATCTGCATGATGAGCCCATCTATGCGAAACTTCCAAGCCGGAAAAAGCAGACGGCTGCATTTTCAAATTTTATGAAAATTGTTATGCTACGTACGTTGTTTTATTAGGCTAAGAGTCCATAGACAAAGTGCTATACGTTGTAATAAATTTTTAGTTTTTTTAGTTTTATCACCCTAGATTTAATTAGACTTTACTAAAAGAGAGAGTAATTGATAAAAAAAATATAGTTTTGAGTACTTATAAAGGAAAACGAAAATTCTTCTATAATTTAAATTTCATAAAATTTAAAATGAAAAAACCAAGGCAGATCTGTTATTTCTAATAAAAAAAATGTGTGTGTGTACTTATGTACGCACGTAAGAAGACGTAACAGAACAAAAATAGCTAAAGATTTCATCCCGTATGTCAGAACTCTGTGTTTGTAAAAGGAATGCAGCTAACTTCATAATGTCGCGTAGAAATAGTGTGTTTTACAATTACTACATAATATAATATAGTTAAAAATATAGGTAACTTACAGTCATATTATTGAATGAAGGTCTCACAAAGGAACGTTTTAAATATCCGATTTGAATATTATTTTTGATTTAATGGTCAATATATATATATAAAATAATTGCTGTTTGTTAGTCTCGCTGAAACTAAAAAACGGCTAGACCAATTTGAATATATTTTTTTTGTTAAGGATGTGTCAGAGGTGGCTTAAATATAAAACAAAATAGGGAAAACCTAAAAAAACAGCTGGAAATCTTCAGAACTGTTTTTTTACCTACGTATATCCATATATATATAATCCATATATATAATTTTGTACCTATGTATATCCATACTAATATTATAAATGTGAAAGTGTGTTTGTTTGTTTGTTTGTTTGTCTGTCCTTCTTTCACGTGGAAACGGAATAACGGATTGGCGTATTTTTTTGTGTGGAGATAGTTGGAGTGCTAGAGAGTGACATAGGCTACTTTTTACTGCGAGAGATAATGTCATTCCCACAGAAAAAACACGTTATAATACAACCCAAAAAATATTTATGATAAGAATTACTTGAAATTTGGTATTAACGCTCTTCAATACAATTAAATAAGTACGTTTTTTAGCAGTTCCACTGGTCTATACATATAATAAAATTGTAACTAAGTATAATCTGTACATTAAATATTTTTTGGAAAATCTAATTGAAATAGACATTATTACCGAATCTATAGTTTTTAAAAAAATTGTCTATCTGTCTGTCTGTTGTTTGTGTGTTCGCATCACGAGAAAACCGCTGAACAGATTTTGATGAAATTTGGTATGATAATTGTTGGTTATTTGGGTCAACATATAGGATACTTTTTACCGCAGGGAAATATCTCATTTCTGAGAAAAAATACAAAAACTGCATTGTAAGAGTATACTAATATGTAAAACCTAAGAATTTAGTTTTTGGTCATCTGAACGCGGGCGGAGCCGCGGGCAATTCTAGTTATATATATAGTCTATCTATTCCATATTAACCAATAAACGTACCTAGGAACGAACCTGAGCGAATCGAGGGTGTCGCTAGTTGAATATATACCTAATACAACAGTTTAGTGACAGTGATCACAATTCGAAATTCCCATCATTTCTCATCTGCAAGGAAGTACTCGCAGATTCAATATAAACTTTAATATGCGTCGACAATCTCTAGGGAATGCCATGTCTGTTTATTCAAAGCGAATAAAAAGACTTTTGGACACATTACTCGCAAATAATAAAAGTCAGCTGTATTTGTGAAATTACGTATAATCTATACATATAATAAAATTGTAACTTAGCCAAATCTGTACATTAAATATTTTTTGGAAAATCTTATTGTAATAGACATTATTAGCGATATAGATGCTGAATCTATACTTTTTAGAGTTTTTGTCTGTCTGTCTGTCTGTCTGTCTGTCTGTTACCGCATCACAGAAAAACCACTTGACGGATTTTGATGAAATTTGGTATGGTCGTAGCTGGTTATCCGGGTCAACAAATAGGATACTTTTTATTGCGGGAAAATATCTCATTTTTGATAAAAAATACAAAAACTGCAATGTATGAGTATACTAATATGTAAAACCTAAGAATTTGGTTTTTGGTCATCTGAACGCGGACGGAGCCGCGGGCAATGCTAGTATTACATATATTGTAATTTAGTATAATAATGTCATTGGCAAAGTAATCTGTGCTCAACTGCCTCTTTTTAAACCACTAACACAGAACAGTATTATATCATATATTTTAAAAACTTACTAAAGCTGCAAAAAACGTCAATAGCGATTACTGTTTTCAGCACTTCCTTAATAAAGTCATAAATCACACGTAAATTGTGCAGTTGTGTACAGAATAAACGTTATGAAATATTATAAAAAATTCATACAATGCGCTAACATGGCATGTTTGCTATATACGAAAAATAAATCTACTTTGCATTTTATAACGAAACAACATCAGATTCAATTAACTCAGTCCAGATTTTTTCCATATTGTCATATTCAGTGTTTTTGAAGCAAAATTGGAAGCCTTTTATTTAAGAACCAAGTGATGGAAGAAAAATATGGTTTACGTTTTCCGAGAATAATGCAGGAGTTGAAAAATCTTCGATGAAAATTGGATTTCATATTCAAAATATAAGTATATATTTCATTTATTTGTTACTTGAAAATTTATTTATTTTTGTAATACAAAAACATAATGATAATATTATATATTCAATCCTTATAACATCCTACTGATGGCAACCGGCCTCCCTCAAACATTTGGTTTCCCAAATGAGCTCGTCACATTATTATTATATATTAGTACCTCGGCTACCGAGCTTCGCTCGGAGTTTTTGGCCTAAAGTACAATTTTCTTTTTTTTACAACTAAAAACTTTAAAAAAGATTAGTAAGAAACCTGAAATAATAAAACTTTTCCTTAGAAAGTACCTCTGTCTGAAATGCTACTCTCTAGGCCAATGAATTAAGTTACTATAGCTAAGCAACTAAACCACAGGGGAAAGATATAGATAGACTTTATCGAGAAAAGCTCAAACGATTAATTAATTGCTGAACTCGAATATTTCTTTCTATTTCATTTGAATGCAATCAGACTTAATGCAGTTTAAATGGAACTTTGAAATCCTCTCAACAATAAAATTTACATTTACATTACTTTTCTTTATATTAAATCGATTTCATCGATTTAATTCTTTGGTTTCTATATAAATTGAATGATCAACAAAATTAAATAAATCACAATATATTTAATACTAGCGACTCACCCTCGCTTCGTCTTCGTCTCTAGCTTGCTTCCCCATACAAACTTTCATCCCCATTCTCATCCCCTTAAAGGATGATTTCCGGGATAAAAACTATTTCACTCACTCTCTTTTCATTTCATGAGTTTTAAAAAAAAATTATTTTAGTAAAAAAAATCTCTTAATTTTCTTCCATGCAAAACTTTCTGACAATAACACAAACACAAAAAAAAGAATTATCCAATCTGCCGTAGTCGATTCGAAGTTATGCGCGTACAAATATTTCGGTGATTCATTTTTATTTATATACATAGATTTATAACCACTAAATTAATCAGTAAGTTTCTGAATAATATTAGTCTTATATTATGTAACAAAGTTAAATATATCTAGCAATATATGGATGAATTATTGGCTATTTTCAACCGACTTAGTCAAGTTAGGGTGGATTTTCTAAGTAGAGTACTGGTCTGTTTATATCATCTTTATTACGTCTTATACATATATTTTATATCTAGAACATAAGATTTAGTGATGGTCAATGGATAATTAATCGATTAATTAAAAATCTAATCAGTAAAAATGAATTCCAATAAATATTTTTTTTTTTACAGTAAGGAAATCGATGAATATATAATATGATATAGTAGTATCGATTAAGAATGGAGTAACAATAAAAAGTTGCACTTTCAAGTAAATGAATATTATAAAAGCCAACTTACCAGTAATAGGTTCCAGTTCATAGCCATCGGAAGCGATCACAGTAATGTTATGCCCGTCGATTGACATCTCGATGGGACAATTTAGAAATTCCGCGTTGATCACGCGAAAACGATACTTGTAGCCCTGGGGATAAAGACGAAATTATAATCAAACGCTAGTATTGAATAGTAATACTGTTAAATGTGTGTTAGTGTGGTAATTTTTTTGGTACTAATCTGTTTCATGAATGGGAACCTTTCCATGTTTAATGATCTTTGTTCTGTGGCTTATAGGCGTGCCATTTGGGCACAGTTTATGTTCTTGATGGATACACTTATGATAATATATCAAGATAAAGATAACAAATGAAGATATTTTTCAATCTATCTTTAGAAATAATTAAATAAAATAAATAAATATAAATATCTCGGGACATTAACACATACCATTATCTAGTTCCACTGTAAGCTGCGAGGCCTGTGTTATGGATACCAGATAGTTGATACACTATGCATATTATATAACTTTAAATACATACATATTATAAATATAAACACCCATGACTGGAGTACAAGCATTCGTGCTCATAGCACAAATGAATGCCCTCAGCGGGACTCGAACCCGCGACCGCTAGCACAGAAAGAAGGGTCACTACAAACTGAGCCAAACGTGTCGTCAAAATTAATTTTAAAAATTAATTAGATAAATCGAGGTTAGCCTATTTTATACGATTCCTAGTTATTTTTAGAATTATATTGATGTTTATGGGCATCATGGCACAAAAAATTAAAAATGATCTACTTTTCACCAGCTATTTTATATAGAACTCATCAAATCAAAGTCGATTTACTAGATGCCTTAGAATACTTCCACTGACTCCTTGTTTCTTATATCTGACGTTATCAAATTATTTCAAATCAAAATCAAAATTTACTTTATTCAAATAGACTTTTACAAGCTCTTTTGAATCGTCAATATTACATTTTAAATTTAAATTAAATGTCTGTATAGTCCGTGATGAATCTACCGGCTCGGTATTATTGAATAGTTATACTTCTTTGGCGTAACAGAACAAAAATAGCTAACGGTTTCATACCGTATGTCACAATTCTCTGTTTGTAAAAGGAATGCAGCTAACTTCATCATGTCACTTTTTGGCTGTCGGTGTAAAAATTTTACTCTCATATTTTTTTCCAAACGTGCCAAAAGAAGTATAACTTTAAAAAAATAAAAATTGAAAAACTACGAAAACGTGTATTCAAAACAGTAAGAAATAAATCGTTTATTTATTATTAACTAAAATCTTTGTACATAACTATACAAAGGTAATGACAAATCATTTGAATATTCAGGAATTCATTTTAAATAGTATGTACTTCCAGTTTAGTTGCGGTTTTTCAATTACTATTTACCTAATCTTCTGAAATATTCACGGGCGGTACTGGCTTTTGTCTTTTTAGTTCTATTTTGTATTAAATTGTTTCACTTAAAAGCTGTAATAAAATTAAACAATGTCTGCCAAAGAGACATTTTATACACATGAAGGAATTAAACCTGCCATTTATAAATATAAAAATATAGATAACTTCTTATTTTTTCCATCATATTCTACACAAAAATACAATTTTATGTCACATCTCAGAAGTTACAAAAGTAAGCGAAGTTCTAAGGCAACTGGGATTCATATCATCTATACATATAATAAAATTCTAACTGAGCCGAATCTGTACATTAAATATTTTTTGGAAAATCTAATTGAAATAGACATTATTATCGATACAGAGGCCGAATCTGTAGTTTTTAGAATTTTTGTCTGTCTGTCTGTCTGTCTGTTACCGCATCACGAAAAACCACTCGACGGATTTTGATGAAATTTGTTAATGGTAGCTGATTATGCGGGTCAACATATAGGATACTTTTTATTGCGAGAAAATATCTCATTTCTGAGAAATCTATACTAAATGTTAAAACGTAAGTAGGGACGAACCTGATCGAAGCGAGGGTGAGTCGCTAGTAAAAAATATATTTTCAACTTTATTAGAAACTAAGTGACCTATCGTTACGGTTTATAGATTTTCTATTTATCCAGTCTTCAGTTTCTAGAAAACTTCATAGATTCCTTGCAAAAACAAACTTAACAAAACTGAATTTATATTTCTTTTCTCTGCAAATGCGGTGTTAAACAATTGTCACCTATTGTTGTAGCGCGGGTTATTTTACACCGTTTGACAAATACCTAAAGCAAATTCATTGCAATTGCCAGTCAAATATATATATATGCAAATTTTCGCGATACAAACACATTTGCGAACGTTATTCTATGTAAATCTAATATATTTGTTTCAAAAACCGAGTCTGCGCTACAATAAAGCGGAAAATTCTACAATTTCTGATAGGTGATTAAATTCCATCAGTGGATAATTTGAATATAACTATTCATATTATTTGACTTCAACATTAGCCTTCTTCTTCTTTGTCTTCATTTTTTACATTTTCAAAGTATATGGTCCCTCTGAGCCTGAAAGATCAGGTGCAAAACTGGATAGTTGAAACATACTACCAACTTTCCAATTTTCAATTTTTTCCCGTGCCAGGACTCAAACCCAGGACCACATAATATGCAGTCAAATTATAAGGAAGCTAATAGACTAACCAAGCTGTATCTAGATATGAATGATTGTAACAGTTACTGTATATAGTTTTTTTATATCGAATTCACGATCTACACCATGAATTTTTTTTTTGAGAATTAATAATTAAAATACAGATTTTTGCCGTTTTAGGTTTCCTTTTTTTCTCGATATTTCGAATACTTCAAAACAAACATGTTTTTTTCTTAATACTACTAAGAAATCCTTAAAAAATAATATTAAAATTAAATTACTCATTCACTTACATGTTCAACATTGAACTTAGCAGCTTGCATGTACGTAGGCTTGACGGTATCATTGAATATCTTAAAACGGCCTACGCCATTTATTAAGAGAGTCGGTGGTTTGTTATCGCCTTTGGAATGATGATGATCGGTGAACATTCCCACTGAAATCTCGTGGATCCAATCTGTTACTATCATTACGTGTTCTGATCTGTAACAAAAATTATTTAATTTAATATATAGATTTCGACCACGGTGGCCAATCTCACTGAGAGTAGCCAACTGCGCAGGAGATGTTATAGTGCACAAGTGTACGCGCAGACACAAGTGCACTCTTTATGCCTGCCATTATTATTTCCGGTGAGATCGACACGATCAGTGAGAGATCAGGCACATGACCGACAGTTTTATTTGACAGAAAGATTCACTATAATATACTCAAATGATAAAAGACCTATGCAAGTTTAGTGGTCTTTATTAGTACATAATTCGTAGTTCAGGTATTGTGCGTAATGTTTCTAAATATTTGGCTATTTCATCTAATATATTTTATTACTTTTTATACTATATTAAAACATCGATTCAAATGGATACGTGTTTATTTTAAAAGATACAGCTATTTATAAGGTGTGACAGACAGACAAACAGGCAATATATACCGTAAACTTAGTAAATAAGTTACTGACCCAATCCTTTAGTCTCATGACTCTCAGACCTATTAAAACTTAACAGACCATTTCCTAAGGAGTTATATTTTTTTTATTGAAATTTATATGGAATTTGACTACCTATTACATAAAAAATACGAAAATCGAGTGTAGAAACTATCATATTATACGTACATACAAAGAAAAAAATACTTTTAAATATACAACTCAAAATAAAGTATCGTAGTCGTATCACAGAAGCCAAAATATCTAATTATATAACATAACTAGCATTGCTCGCGGCTCCGCCCGCATTCAGATGACCAAAAACCAAATTCTTAGGTTTTACATATTAGTATACTCTTACATTGCAGTTTTTGTATTTTTTATCAGATATAAGACATTTTCCCGCGGTAGAAAGTATCCTATATGTTGACTAGGATAACCAGCTATCACCATACCAAATTTCATCAAAATCCCTCCAATGGTTTTTCTGTGATGCGGTAACAGACAGACCGACAGACAAAAATTCTAAAAACTATACATTCGGCCTTTGTATCGATAAAAATGATTATTACTATAAGATTTTTCAAAAACTATTTAATGTACAGATTCGGCTTAGTTACAATTTTATTACATGTATAGATACATTTCAAATTCTAAACACAATTTGTAATATCCAACACTAAATATTGGAACTAAATAAATCTTATCAATTATAATGTAGACCACATAATATAAGATCTTTTATCAGAACTCATAAATTACAATCCTTTAATCGAGCGCATTGCTATAATTTGTGGTTACATGCCGATTTCCTTCTATGATAAATGGACATAGAATAAAAAATATTTAGAACTGACACGTTTCAAATATTTTGTATTTGTAATAATTCAATTCAAATATTTTAGTAAGCATGAGCGAATGCATCTTGCTCTCTTATCTAATATTTCGATTTAAAAATCCATTAATATAGTAAAACTATTAGTATAGAACTCATTAAATATTTTGACGAGACGTTTGTCTCAGTCTGTAGTGACCTGTACTTGCTGTGCCAGCGGTCGGGGGTTCAAGTCCCGCTAGGGGCATTCATTTGTGTGATGAGCACGAATGCTTGAACTCGTCATGGATTTTTATATTTATAATATGTATGTACCTATTGAAAATTATACAGGGTCATTTTTAATTTACTGAAAACCTTTTGAGAATACACTATTTACAACATAACAACAACATCTGTAAGAAAAAAAATATATCTTCAATTTAACAAAAATAAAAATATTTTTATTGCACCTTTTAAACGGTAATAGCCCAGCATTAGCAAAAAAAAGTGCGTGTCCGGTGGAGGGGGAGGGGTGGAGAGTGTGTAGGAAGCCGCGCTTACTCATTTAAACTTGGCCAGATGCTAGAATGACATGAGTGTTTATTTTTAGGGCTATACATGAAGTAATTAATTTATAAATAGTAGGTAAGCAAGTTATGGGACGATATTGTGAGGGGTCAGTGGTATTACTTGAATTGGGAAGCATATATGTTATTCCTTTTGTTAAAAATGAAGGAAATTCTGCTGTTCCTTTTATTACCTCTGATATAGCCATAGCAAGAGCCTGATGCAGTACTACAAGTTTTTTATACCAAAAATTATGGACTCCATCTACACCTACAGATTTCCAGTTTTTCATTTTTTTCGTTACTTTCTCTATATCTGTTTTATTTATATCGATAAATTCCATCGGTTTAATAGTTTTTGCAGTCTCTTCTACTTTTTCTATCCATTTAGTACTATTATTATGATCTCTATATTTTTTCCAAATCTTGGTTCATCTTTGAGCTCATTTTCTTCAGGTAGTTCCCGTATAGTGTTGTCTTGAACATTCTTTAGTCTTTTATAGAAATCTTTCTCGTTATTGGTAAATAATTTATTATCTTCTTTTCTTTGCAGTGATTTTTTGTAGCGTGCTAGTCTCTGAGATTTAAGTGTAAGTTTTTGTTTTAACGTATCTAAAAATTCCTCCGGTCTATTGTTATTTTTTTCATTGGATGAATGTATTTTATAAGATGTAAATATTTTATTTACGTGTTTTACTAATTTATTGCTTCTATTGTTATTTATGAACTGAGTTAGTCTATCAATACCTACTCTTAATTTTTTGATATCATTCTCAAGCCTAATTTGCCATTCTGGTTTATCTAAGACCTTTTTTTGTACTTGATCGTATCTGAATAAGTTTTATAGCCTAATTCCTAACTAATTACAAGCGTAACGCAATATATTAATGTGTGTAATTGTGTTATATCAGAATCTATAGAATGAAATTTGACTGAAATCTGATTAAATATCCGAACTAAATCATATAATTTTTTTGTTTTCTCTTAATTTTGGTAGCTTAGGACGATGTAACGGATCAGTTCCTGTATACAACATTAGGGTAGTTTCGAGTTTATTGTGCAAATCTTGAATTAATGAATTTGAAAACTCATTCCGGTCTATTGCTAACGATTCAGCAGTTTGCAGCAAATCCGAAGTTGGAACTTCCGTTTATGTTGATACTGATGCCTGACTAATAATAAAAGACATCTAGGAAACCTGTGATTCAGGCACGTAAGTACGCTGTGAGAGTGACAATGATATATTTGTGCTAGGTTCTTTATTTTGTTGTTAGTTTCAACTGGTGTTAAAGTAGAATTAACTAAACTAGTTACCGGTGTTAGAGTATTGGCCATTCTCTCCTCGTAATTTATTTGCTCGGATAACTCCTTTTTTAATTTGTTTATAACTTCTTCAGATAGCAATCTATTTCTTCAGATAACCCTTCTTTGGTCTGCTACTCTCTGTGCTGTTACGTTTAAGTCTGGATATTTTAATTTAAATTGTTCAAAAAGTTTACTGCCATACATTTTCATGTCTGTTTCTAATTTATTATTATTATTATTATTATTATTAAATATAGTTATATCGGTGTTGTGTTATTTGATGTGGTTATATGCATGTGTAATACATAATAAAAATATATTTTATGAAGTTTCATTCTATTGCTCACGCAATAATTTTATATTTATAAGGTAAGTTTGACGGACTTACTAATGATTTATGCATGAACGAATTGTCGCTAATTCGTTCATGGATTTATCTATACATATAATAAAATTGTAACTGAGCCGAATCTGTACATTAAATATTTTTTGGAAAATCTAATAGAAATAGACATTATTATCGATACAGAGTCCGAATCTATAGTTTTTAAAATTTTTGTCTGTCTGTCTGTCTGTCTGTTACCGCATCACGAGAAAACCACTGAACAGATTTTGATGAAATTTGGTATGATGGTAGCTGGTTATCCGGGTCAACATAAAGGATACTTTTTACCTCGGGAAAATATCTCATTTAAGAGAAAAAATACAAAAACTGTAATGTAAGAGTATACTAATATGTAAAGCCTAAGAATTTGGTTTTTGGTCATATGAACGCGGGCGGAGCCACGGGCAATGCTAGTGTATGTATGATAAAGCTAATAAAATGCTTGCAGAAGTGAAAGTCCTGATACATTCGTAGAACCAAATACTTATAAATTTCAACATCATAGTCAGTTGGCTCGTTGGTCTAGGGGTATGATTTTCGCTTAGGGTGCGAGAGGTCCCGGGTTCAAATCCCGGACGAGCCCAATCCATTTTTTTATTATTTTTTATATACATATTTCAAACCACAATGAATTCAAACATGAATTAAGCAAAAAGTTTAATATATAACTTTTTTTAGATTTACGCGAATATTAAAATGTCAAAAAGTTTAATATTTTGTTAGGTCAGTATAAAATTATATTCTTTTTCGTCAAGTTGTACCAATTTCTTCTTAGACCGGTTATAAGGTATTTGACCGCAATAAACACGTGAGATACCACGTGAATGAGACACGATTTGATATATACATGCAGGTTATTCTTCACACGTATACAAGTCACATCCCCGATATTGTTCTGGCCATTTATTTTCAAAAATATTAACATATATTTTTCATTATTAATGTTGAAAAGAAATTATGCTTAGTTCGTAGTAAAAATGAGAAGAAAATATTTTCCACCATTATTTTTCCATCATTTTTATGGAGTGATGATACCTTAGAGTTTAGATATTGGATAGTTGATGGGAAATAATACTTTTATTGCTAGTATAGTGGTTTAATCTGTTCTTTGAAGATTTACAGCGAAAAAAATAAAAATGATATTAGTAGTGAATTAAAAGCAGAAATATCAATTTCCAGATTTCTACATTTTAAAATGACTTGAAACTTACAAACTTTAATTCTCTTTTAAAATTCTATAATACATATTTTTTTAAATATTTCCTTAGTACTTTTACCTTCGTTATAAAGGAATTTATTGTTTACTAGGTACTCCCCCTCGCTTCGCTCGGGTTCGTCCGTAGGTTGTTTCCCCATACAAACATTCATCCCCATTTTCACCCCCTTAAGAGATTATTTCCGGAATAAAAATTATCCTATGTCCTTTCCAGGATCTCAAACTATCTTCTTACTAAATTTCATCTAAATCAGTTCAGTAGTTTTGGAGAATATTCGCTATAAGCAAACAAACAAAAAATCTCTTTATAATATTAGTATAGATTTTTTTATTTAAATTTAGATCGAATAAGCTTAGCCTGTAGGTTGTCTGTCAGTTAACTGATGATGATGATGATGTTCTCCTAGCCGATTCCGGCCACGGCGGCCAATCTTAATGAGTTTAGCCAACTGCGCAGGAGATATTATAGTGCTCAAGTGTACGCGCAGACACAAGTGCACTCTCTATTCCTGTCACTCTCATTCTCCGGTGGGACGACCACTCGACACGACCGGTGAGAGTTAAGGCGCAGGACCGACGGCTTTACGTGCTCTCCGAGGCACGGGGGTGAAACACCGCCAACTTCCCAACTCCGGGCTGTTACTGAGACTTATTATACAGGAAGACTCAATAACTAAACTTGGCCCGACCCGTGACTCGAACCCAGGACCTCCGGGTGTGCAGCCGTACATGCTAGCCACTACACCACCGAGGCAGTTAACTAAACTAGTTAGAACAGATTGATATATTATTAATTCAAAGAAACAAAATTATAATTACGACGTATATGGGGATATACCTAACTTATGAATCATCAATTAGACATTTACGTGTACGATATATTTTTTATTATATGATGTTTAGGTATTATATAAAACAATATTCAAGTTTTTTTTTTTAGTAAGCGTTGCTTGATAATGTAAGTGTTAAATCTATTAGAATCCATAAAACCTCCAGGTAAATTTCTAAGAAATAAATTAAATTTCTGAGAAACAAAAAAAAGAAAGTAGGTTGTCAAACAGAGGAGGAAAAGGTTTTGTCTTTTTCTATTAATAGATGTAGAAGCATATGACCACATATTACAGCTGGAGCGATTTTGATGAAATTTTCAGGCAATCTTCAGATTAGACCAGCATAACCCGTGGTTAACCTCTATGAAGTTTGGTAGGGATCGTAAGCTTGAACGCGGGCAAAGCCGCGGTTCGTGCTAGTATATTATAAGCAAGATATATTATTATATTATAGGTACTTAAGATTGTCTTGGTTAATTTAAGACTGACATGCGGATGCAAATAAGCATTATATAATATATCACTCCAGACATGAATTAGGTCATACTCAGAAATGGTAATAGGTATCTCAAATTATGCATATATGTTATTATGCTTAGATAATAGCTCTAACTCGCTTTTTGTCTGTCTGTGCATTTCGTTATGTAAAAATTCATAATATAAATAAAATAATATATACGTTGGGAAGTTAACACAGCACCATCTAGTTCCACATAATACATACGTAAATACATATATATTACACTTATAAACACCCATAACCGGAGTACAAGCACTCGCTCTCATCACACAAATGAAAGCCCCTAGCGGGACTCGAATCTGCTACCGCTGGCACAGCAAGTAGGGTCACTACAAACTGATCCAAACGTGTCGTCACATAATATAAAACAATTTTTGTAATCATTTATAGAATCTTATTGAAAAGTTAGGAACCTCCATAGTTTAAATTCATATTATAATAAATATAGTAGTTTCTCTACTATCTCCATGTTTTAGAGGTACTAAATAATACGCGTTTTATAAATAATTATAGGTACATTTAAGATTTGGCAAAGCAAAAGATGGTCGCTAGTGTATATGTATTCAGCCCTTTTTAACGTCTCACTGTTGGGGGTGAGCCTCCCTTCAATACGAGGGGGATCAGGCCATAGTCCACCACGCTGGCCATGTGCGGGTTGGCGGACTTCACATGTCTTTCGAAAACTTGATAGGTTCTCTCACATGCAGGTTTCCTCACGATGTTTTTCCTTCACCGTAAGGCAAGTGGTAATCATGTTAGAAATGATTCGCACATGAAAATATCAGAGGTGCGAGACCCGAGATTTAAACCCGCTCCACTCGGTTTCCCAAGCGAGCGCGTTACCACTGGACTACCACTTATTATAGTGTATATAATATTACACAAATCATAACATTCATCGTTATGTACTTACTCTTGTAATATGAAAAAGTATTTTATACTCTTCCTTATTGTAATAAATTAAAAAAAATATATCCTGATACGAAATCCTTTTAGAAAATATTGTAACAGAAAAAATGATTAAATTGCTCGCGGCTACAATGTCTATAAAACAACTGTCAAAATTGATTCTACGAGTATATAATATTTTCCTTACCGTTTTTATAAGCGTTTTCACTTATATATTCTACGTAATATTTTCTTTAACTTAATATCCAAGCGAAATATAACTTCGATATGTTTTTAGAAAATAGACATTATTAACATACCTTTCGTAAATCAAAATCATCTAGAATTATTTATAACCACCACATATTATCTTCAGGCGTAATATTGACCCAAATTCTCAATTTACGTAGTTTAAGATAATTCATAGACTAGTATAAGATGATCTCACCTGTCATAATCGTACAGATTCCCGTGGGGGTCTTGTGATTTTGGTTTCCGTATAATAAGAGCACCAGCAGCTCCATCGGCTCTTTGCATGCCGGAATGGGAATGCCAGAAATGTGTTCCAGAGTGTGACGCGTTGAATTGGTATCTGAAATGAAGTGTTAATATAACAAATATATAAGCAAACTAGCGACTCACCTTCGCTCCGCTCGAGTTCGTGCCTAATTACGTTTTAACGTTTAGCTCAGAGATGAGATAATTTCCCTCTATGAAAAGTATCCTATATTTTAACCCGGATAACCAACTATCATAATATCAACTTACATCAAAATCTGTCCAGTGGTTTTTTCGTGATCCGGTCACAAACAAACAGACAGATACACAAAAATTCTAAAACATATACAATATGTCCCTGTACCCATAATGATGACTATTTCAATAAGATTTTCCAAAAAATATTTAATGTACAGATTCTACTCAGTTAGGTTTTTATTATACGTATAGATAACACTTTATTTATCAAATATGATTAAAGATATAAGCATTTTCGTATTATACCTGAATGTTAAATATAAAAATAATATAATAAAAAATCTTAGGAAGACTCAATTACAGTGTTTTAAAAAACCAGTAACGTTATCAGTAGTCAAAAAAAATAGTTTTAAAAACCTGTATATGTACTAGAAAAATATTCCTGTCTGTGTGTAAACGTTTTATTATTTTAACAAATTTTACTATTAGAAAGCATTTTTTAAGATTTTTCAACCATATATGATCATAAACTATTGTCTCACGAGTGGACCTATATGGCTACTGGTCAAGAGGTTCTGATTTTCGTCCCAAATCGTGATCACCAACAGTAATTTAACAAAAAATAAACAATTGTACAAAGCAAGTTCAAAATTCAAGCCTAACCGTTATCATATTTATATGTATCCACGGAGCACTTGCAGTTAATATAATAAAAAAATGAAGCACATTGTTAAAATTAGTTTCTTACTAATATAAAATTAAAATCTCAAACCATCTTACCTAAAAGTAGTTTCTGGTAGAATTGGACACTGAGTGACATATGGAGTTCCGTCCATATATGGCGTACCGCGTTGATGTTGTCCATGCCAGTGAACTGTTGTGCCTTCCGTCATTAGGTCATTCTCTACATCTACAATTATTCTGTCATGTTGGCACACCTGTAATTAAAAAAAAAAGTTTATTCATATGGAAAACGTGGGTATACTGAAGTCATTTTTTATATATTGTGCCCATTTTGTCACATTATCCCTACTTGCTACACGTTTCGGTCAGTTTGTATCGACCCTACTTGCTGTGCCAGCGGTCGCAGGTTCGAGTCCCGCTGGGGACATCCATTTGTGTGATGAGCACAAGTGCTTGTACTCCAGTCATGGATGTTTATATTTATAATATGTATGTAATTATTAAAAAGGTATATATGTGTAGTGTATCAACTACCTGGTATCCATAACACAAGCCTCATAGCTTACCATGGAACTAGACGATGTTGTGTGTTAATGTTCCAACATATTTATTTATTTAATATTATTTACCTTTTTCGCATGAAGATATATGTAAAATCTTTATATAGCATATAAAATTAATTAACTAATTCCAAAAAGTAGAGAATGCATTTTTTTGTAACTTATTTATCTACTCAAAGATAAGTAAAAGTATTTCATTGACAGTATGATATCTAATCTAATACCTTTAAACGAGCAATTCTTGTATATTTATTTTTATTTATATATACCGGCGATCTCGGAAACGGCTCTAACGATTTAGACCTAACTCGATTCGATAACGGCTAAGACGTAAGATTGACAACCACAGGTTTTTTTTTTTAACGTTGGGAAATGCATTTACGCACGACGTGTGGGACTCACCGGCGTAATACAGCCAGTACTACCCACTAAAACCCAACAAAACCTTCCCCCGTCTTAATGGGGCGTCGCAGGATCGCTTACGCATTCAACTACGACGCCCCGACGGCAGGTCTGCCAAAGCAGACCACCACAACCATGGGGTTGCTCCAAGGTCCACTCTGCTATCAGAGAAGTACCAGGAGCAACCCGCAAGGTATACCGCCCCCCGAAGAGGGCCACCTCCCACCGCCCACCGAAGTGGGCAACCTCCGTGTGCGTTTCTTAGCTTTGCTACTACTACTGAGCCCCCCCACCACGACAAGGTGAACGCACGTTGGGGGGGAACCACAGGTAACCGAGTTCGAATCCCGGTTGGACCCAAAATTTTCACTTTTGTTTTTTATTATCTCCTATATGATTATCATCTAAAAATACGATATAACAAAAAGAACTCCGAGCGAAGCTCGGTCGCCCAGGTACTTAGATTAATATATCCATATCTTGGTATTAAAAATATAAACACTAAAAAAATATCCGTAGTTTTTGTGTATCAGCTTTTATGATATAAAAATATTATATTACCCCAATTTAGCTATAAAGACGATTGCTTTAAAACAAATCAGTAGCCATAAATAATACTTTTCGTCATTATAAATATAAAAATCGCTTAAATATGAATATTTTGATAATAACGGTATTGTAATAAAACGTTTTTTGTTTATTCCTAAAAGGATTTTCCTTGTATAGAATTTCAAAGTGCCCTTGAATAGAATGATACATCCTCTAGATTCTAAAACGTTTGAAGTACATATGTATGTATATTGTATATGTATACTAGCGGACCCGACAGACGTTGTCCTGTCTACACGTCTTTAATTTCAAAATTTCAAACTTTTTTTAATAATTTTTTGATGAAAATTATTATTCAAATTGTGAATCTAAACCATTCCCAGATCCCCTTGAACACACACAAAAAATTTCATCAAAATCAGTCCAGTCGTTTGAGAGAAGTTCAGTGACATACACACTCACAGAAGAATTATATATATATATATATATATATATATATATATATATATATATATATATATATGTATATTTGTACAATGTATCTATTATATTATGCTGCTGTATACTTAAATTACTCTTAGATTTCACTCAATAGATTTGAAGTCGACGATCTAACAATAGTGTGTATAATTTGGTATATTTTAACTAAATATATATTAAAGCTATTGTTTTATAATTTAAGTACCAATATTTTTATTGAAATTTATTTTTAAAATATTTAGAATAACAGGTTAAATAAATAAAGAAGTCACTTAGAAACATCTAACTCGTTTTTAAAATTTCACTAAAGATGACCTAGAAGCTGTGCTAAAGTTTGTTTTTCATCTCGCAATTCCATGTATGTATAAAGTGTCCTTATTTATTTATTTTTATCCGACCGCGCAACACAAAGGGGGTGTACCTACTTAATTTATGATTTGGCTACTACGTAGACTATATTAAAGTGTTCACATGATTCATATGCCTTCCTTTTAACGTTGGAAAATGCATTCGATACCCACAAACATACAGGTTATGTGGGATTTAATAGCCAGAAAAACCAGTACTATACACTAAAACCCAACGGATCCTCACCCGTCTCAATGGGGCGTAGCAAGATCGCGATCGATGATTTTTTATATTTGTTTAATCTAACTGATCTCTAAATGAAATTGTGTTTTCAGAATTTGTCGTGATATTTTTTTGTTATCAAATTTTGAGTTTTTGTTCCCCACGTTTCGATTGCTTTACAGAAAACATGGTCGCAGGAGAGACTATGTGATAGACTTCTCAAAAGTTATTATATATGCATATAGTTATTAAAGATGGTGTCGACTCACATAATCATACCATATTTTTATATTAGAAAAGTGGCATCAGCGTACAATACGTTTTAAATATTTTTAATAGTTTTATTCAAATTGGATATTAAATAACTCACTTCTATTGCAGGGCCAGGCATCTTTCTATTGACAACATTAAGGGGTCTGTTTATTCCATCAGCGGGTATACAATCTTGTCTTAGACAATCTGTTAAATTATATGGGCAATCATAACATGCTTTACTCATCGTCTGATACCATTCTAAATTAAAATGGTAGTAACAAATCATCGGTTCTTCGCCTTCCATACATTCTCTATGACAAGGGTGTTCTTCACTAATCAATTCGCCAGTTACTTCGTCATATTGTATATGAGCTCTTATATTATTCTTTTTCTCTAACCGCCTATTTAAATTTCTTCTTGCATTTTCAAATACAGCTTTCTTTAGTGTCTCGAGCTCGTCTTGTCCTCTTGTAGTTTGATATCTGATATCATTATCTAAAGAATGATTTGTTACAGGCAGTAATAGTTTTGATGCACTCTCAGGTTTTATTTGATCATTGCTTTCTACTATTTTGACGTTCGGTGATTCTGCTGTTGAATTATATTTTTCATCTGTTACATCTATTGGTATGGATTGAATTTGTTCAACTATAACAGGTAAGTGTGTTGTGATGTCCTCTTGGTTCTCTAAATCTCGTTCAAAGTCTGTGGTACTTTCGATTTCTGATGGCACGCTGATTCCTTTTGCATCTGCAACAAAAGATTTTCACGATATTATCATAATATAAATATATGAATATAGTATGTTTGCAAAAACATTAACAATTTAGTCATGTATAGTTTTGGCCAAAAAATAAGCCATTACGTATTCCTTTTTGTGATAATTTGTTTAACTAATTGTGATGGAAGTTGCAACGAAGATACGGCAAATTGCTTTGAAATGAGACTTATATTTATGAGGAATGAGGTCATTAAGCTTATTACAAATTATTTTTCCTAATTTCCTAGAAACTAGCGTGGCGTGTCTTGTTATTCTTATTGATTATTTTCAAATAAAAAATAGAGGTTTATCATCTGTCAGCGGCTTTATTACCCGGTATGAAAAATATTCAAAATCACCAACTCAATATTTATATACATACTAACATTGTTTAAGAACAACTTAATGTACGGGAATAAAGGGTAGGCTAGGTTACTTGGAAATATTTTACATTTTAAGGGTTAGTATAGATTTTTCAGAGATGAGATATTTTCACGCAGTAAAAGTATCAACTAAATCTTAAATGGGATAACCAACCAGCTTCATCAAAATCTGACCAGTGGTTTTCTTGTGATACATTCCCAGACAGACAGATGAAAATTCTAAAAACTTCGAACGATTCGGTCTCTGTATCGATAATAATGTCTATTTCAATAAGATTTTCCAAAAAATATTTAATGTACAGATTCGACTCACAATTTTATTATATATATATATAGATAAGTGTAGATACTTGACAGAAACGAGAACAGCACAGTATATTACGAGTATTATATTTAATAGAAGAACCCAAAACTGTGATTTATATGGATAAATGATGTTCAGTACACTTCCGTCCTTACTCTGCGTAATAGATTACAGAACATAAATTTGTAGAGGCACTATGCAATACGTTTTGTAGGCATTAACGTCGTCTAACTTTATATACCGACAGAGCCATATCACTCTGCTATTACAAATTAAATGGGCTGTGGTAACAAACGAATTATTTTTACAGCTATAATATAATTTTCTTTAATGAAAGTAAGGAATTATAAGAGTTTTTACACAACAATTAAAATACGATATGTATTAAAATACAGATATTTCCCGCATTTGATAAATATCTGTATTTTCTACAGTCTGCTTAAGTTTTTTTTTGCTCTATTACAATATTAGTCCCCATAGTATAAAGCGATTTTTATAAAATACTAGCAGAACCCACGGCTTCACCCGGTTTCAATCTACAAAAAAATATATTTTGCTGTATGTTATATAGCGACTCACCCTCGCTTCAGTCGGGTTCGTGCCTATGTATTTATTAAGTATTACATTATTTGGATATTGTTCATATAAAAATAAGATAATAAGTAAACATTCAGCAATCTTGTTAGCTTGTTATTTAGCCCTTTTTTAAATCCCACTGCTGGGCACGGGCCTCTTTTCGATACGAGGGTGATCAGGCCATAATCTACCACGCTGGCCAAGCGCGGGTTGGCGGACTGCACATATCTTCCGAAAACTTCCTAGGTTTTCTCAGACATGCAGGTTTCCTCACGATGTTTTCCTTCACCGCAAGGCAAGTGGTAATCATCTTAGAAATGATTCGTACATGAAAATATGAGGATATATGAGGTGAGGAGGAGGATATATGAGGTGTGAGACCCGGGATTTGAACCCGCTTCACTCGGTTTCCCAAGCGAGCGCGATACCACTGGGCTACCACTGCCATTCTTTGTTAATATATCTTGTTAACTTAGTTACTGAAACCACTAAACATTGAACCTTACAGTTTCAAACAATAATAATCATCATCTTAACGAATTAAAGAAGTAATACAGCAAAAATATAATAAAAAGCTTTTTTTACAAATGAAATAGAGAAGTACGTTCGACATACGATGTCGTTTTAATTGGCAGCTGTACAAAAGCTAGTCGTTTCATATACATTTCTCTCTAGAATTGTCAAAGCTTTGCGGTTCCAAGCGGTCAGCTAAATATTATGACTCTAGTTACGTATTCCATAAGAGCGAGAATACTTTAAAGTTTTGTAACAATAAAATTGGTCGCGACGGATTTTAGCGTCACACACACAGTGTTTATAATGTTACAGAAATGCCACAAGTTTGATTTTTATTGTAAATATAATTTCTTGTAAACGAAATTGTGAAATGAATGAAGAGATAATGACCATAACCTCCCGTTATCATGATTGCTGTAAAGCATTCGAAACGTCGGGAACCAAAAATCAAAATAAATCTGGGAAAAAATCCGAATTTTTTTTTATTTAAAATAAACCTTTGTATGCTTGCAATTTTTGTGCAAATTTCATCATTTTCTGACATTCAATCAAAAGACAGAAAATTAAAAAAATATCAATGGAATCATGCAAACATAATGAATCTACTAGGTAGTTAAGTTACAACTACATATGGAAAATTAATCATATTTAAGCTATTTATCGATAAAAAGAAAAATACAACAATAATAATTTACTTTCTACAACTTGAGACATTCATTATTTAGATTTATTGCTTTAGTGATAGCCACTAAATGCATTACAATACGATATCTCTTAGAAAATTACAAAATGTTTCTCATATACCACTTCCCTAACAAACTATGTTACTATGGGGGTATATTGCGGTACTAGTTCACTATCGTTTGATTGTCGCCACAATCACGTACCACCAATCAAGGCTGTACCGAGTTGCTCAACCTAATCGTACCATTCATCTTGCGCTTGTTGTTATGCGACCGATGTGATTTGATCTTTGATAACAAAAGTCAAAAAAGTTTATCTTAATTATCTATACATACATATAATAAAATTGTAACTAAGCCGAATCTGTACATTAAATATTTTTTGGATAACCTTATTAACAAGCAATATTATTGATAAAGAGGTCGAATCTATAGTTCTTAGAATTTTTGTCTGTCTGTCTGTCTGTTACCGCATCCAAGAAAAACCACTGGAGGGATTTTGATGATACTTTTTACCGCGGGAAAATATCTCATTTCTGAGAAAAAATACAAAAACTACAACGTAAGAGTATACTAATATGTATTTAAAACCTAAGAATTTGATTTTTGGTCATCTGAATGCGGGCGGAGCTGCGGGAAAAAAAATAAAACATCCCTCTGACTCATTTCAGCGAAGCGGCCAATCTCATTAAAATGAATGAGCACAGGAGATATTATAGTGCACAAGTATATAAGTACAAATCCTATACCTTTCACTTTTAAACTCCGAGAGGTAGACAACTCGACACGACCAGCTAGAAAGCAGGATCGACATCTTTATGTACTCTCCGAAACACGGGAGTGAACCGTTGACTTCCCTACTCATGATTGCTACAGAAAATTTCTTGCTAAAAAAATCCAATAACTATATTTAAGCCTCTGGATCTGTTGAACTGCTATTGCCATTGAACCAAAGAAGCAGTTTTCTTTCATCTAAATTATGTCATATAAGCTACAAGTTTAATTATTTTAAGCAAGTTAAGTATTTTTATTAATTAAAATAGCTTGACAAATACGATAATTGACGCTTAAAATGGTATTGTATTTTTATATTAGATATATGTACAAACACTCCAAGGAGGACGATATGTGAGTTTGACTTCATTTTTATGGCTCTATACGATTGGTCTATTTTATTGTATCAATAAAGTTATATAATTCTTATAATGTCAATAAAACATGATAAAACATTCCTCATAATAAAAATAATAATAAAAACTCTTTATTTGCACACACAAAAGAAAAAAAAACAATATAGTGGTAGGAAAATGCACAAGAGACCTTGTCGCTTAAATATTCTTCCAGGCAACCTTTATGTGTAGAAAACTTTAAATGCACAGACTCATACTGTATTAATTCACCCTTTGATTAAGGTTGTTTATATAATTATTATATGTTTTTATTTGAATGTTGTGTATAGAAATAATTGGACAACAAATTTAATATGATATTTTTAATTTTTAATACGAAGATGTAATTTTTTTAATTTGTTTTCTGTTTCTGTACCTAAATAAATAAAATAAAATTAAAATAAAAAATAAAATAGCAAAGTAGACTCATAGTAATATTTTTAATAATACAATTATTAACTAAGATGGTACACTACGAACTAGTTGGAATTGGTCTCAGGAACTTTACCACGCCTTTTGTTTAACTAACTTAAATAAATTCTGTAGCAAGTTGCTTTGCGGTGATGGTCGCTAAAGTATTTAAAGAAGATTTAGAATTTAGACGTAAAATTTAATTACAACACTGATTTTCTTTTGCAGAATTAATCAAGTAGATCTTCTTCTTTCCACTTCTATTATAGCAATTAACGCAAATTGACCTTTCAAGTGCCAAATTTTGTATTAAGTAATCGAACCCCAGTACAAATACATAAACAAGGTGAATGCTGTTTGACGGCATGTTTGGCTCAGTTTGTAGCCACCCTACTTGCTGTGCCAGCGGTCGCGGGTTCGAGTCCCGCTGGGGGTATTCATTTGTGCGTTGAACACGGATGATTGTACTCCAGTCATGGGTATTTATATTTATAATATGTATGTCTTTAAAGTGTAAGTAATATATGTGTAGTGTGTCAACTATCTGGTATCCAGAACACAAGCCTCGTTGTGTGTTAATGTCCCAACATATTTGTTATTTGTTTATATTATAAATAAAGATACCATGTCAATATTAATTTACATAATATCATAGTTTTACTTTGAACTTACTCTTTTGTTAAATCGTATTTTAAATTCTTCTGGACTAAAATAGCAATTCAAAATAACTATACCTTCTTTATTTGATTCTAAACATATTTTTTTTAAATATCAAAATTTTGTAAGTGCTATACAAACACAACGCATGCAATTTACAGGGCAGACGTGGTTTCAAATAGTGACCGACAGGTATCGACAGACCTTTCTATTGGTTGATGTATCGAGGACTTTTGTTTTATGCACCATTATTTATATTGTTTATTTTATACATAAATTATCATAAAACTT